GCCTAAGAACCATAACTCGAACAGCTCCCGGCTCACGCGAGGATTTCGACCTCGGTAAATGTGAAAATATGGTTAGGTCCCGTCGAGTCAACAGATTTCACGTCGAAACTACTGAAAGCTTTAAGAGTGCGTAACAGGCACATCTCTTTTGGATATAAATGGGAGTTAAAAAGGAAAGCGTGGGAGATTTTCTGTTAGATTCGTCAGGTATTACTGTTTATTTTATTGTCGTCTCTGGCTGAGTGATGCAGGATGCAAAATTGTCAGCAGATACACAAGCGGTGCTGGGAACTGGCTCCAGCAGAAACTCCGGGTTCAAATTGTTGTTTGAAGTCTCTGCTATGCTGACTGATCTACGTTTGAAATCAAAACATTTCAGTATTTTAAGTAGGACGCCTCCCGGGGACAGAGATGCCTACAAAATACCCTTTAGAAGACCCTGTTTATCTGTCCTTTCCGATATAAAAACCTGACTATCTAAAAGCCTGAAAAGAATTCAGATCCCTATCCCCTTAATGTGCAGCCATTATCTCCAATGATATCGCCATAGGATTTGGAGTCCTTAGTTCCACCGGATTCTACTCAAATATCAATACAATTATTGTTTATTAGGGCTGCTGTTGTATAATATATATAAGAAGTTTGGTCCGCTTTTTATCCCCTCCACAGAGATTTGGTCGGCAATGATGTGTGCATGTGTGTTTGTTAGACGTTCAGTTTGAAAGCGCGTCATAGTATAGCCTGGGAGACAATAGTTATTTAGCCTAGATATGCCATTGTTCGCCTTTGCTTTGGTCGTTTGGTCTATAATTATCTTAGTTGCGCGCATGCAAAAGACGACCAGCTTACTCTAAAATAAAAAAAGTTTCTCCTACTTCAACCGTCTGGTTTTACTGTACAAGGACAACAATGAGGCTACCATGTCGTGTTCAGACTCAACCAATCCCCTTTTGGGCAGAATTAAATGACGTCATGAAATTTCGTGACCTCTCAATCAGCTGCAAACGGTCGTTGCCTATTACTAAGAGAATTAACTGTCCAATTAGGTGTCAGTCTCGGAGGTTGAAACATGATAGGTAAAGGGAGTAGAAACGATTGAAAAGTCGTGTTGGCAAACGATCGTTTTCGGTCATTCATCGTCAG